AAAGACCCCCCCCCCCCCCCCCCCGACAGCAGTCGACATGACCCTCCAGTCAGTGGCCAAGGCTCACCAGGCAACAACATGTGCATGCCTTGATGCGTCTTCTGCACGTGGGCCTGAGCACAAGGCCAAGGCTATTGAGTTATAGCTGGGGACCAACCTTACGGTAGCTGAGATTCAAGAGTTGCAAATCGTCGCCCAAAGCACAATGCTTGCAACCGTCGTTAAGGAGAAATGTTTTTGTGATTCGTATACGGTTTAACCCTTTTCTATTGGGTTTTTATTTTTTAGTTGGGCCTTTATTTATGCCCTTGGTTTGTTGATTGATAGGGGTACACCCCAACACTTTGTATTCACTTGGGTTTTTTATGCTATTATTTACTCACTTTGTCCCTAAATGGATTGGACTTGCTAATTTACAGGCAAAACCCCATTTCATTTTAATTAACTTTATTTGCAAATGGGTATAGAAATAAAACAATAAAACTTGCATTTTTAAAAACTATTACATAAATAGTGAATTCTACGTTTTCAACTGACACTCATGTAATGCGAAATCCTATAGAAGGATTACAGTGACTTACCTGCATCACAGGACTCCTATCCTTACTCTTGGGTAAAGCTTTGAGCTTCTTGGCATCTAACTGAAAAAATCACAATATTAGCAACAACAAAAGGATCAACTATCAATGCAGTAAACAAGCTAAATTCAGAGATGCCACAATTATGGAGTACCAGAAGCAAAGCACACTGAGGAAAATATTGGTGGATGTGATCTGCAATATTCTTCGGGACAGATCCAAGTTCAGCATCATCAATACGCTCATTGGCGTGAAAGTAACCAACGATACTCGATGCCTTACCCCTGCAATACTCCTCTATCTAAACAAATAAAAAAGAGCAAGTAAAAGCTTATAGATAAACCATAAACCTGAAATGTCCAAAAATAATAGGAAATGAGAATCGATAGTTGAACATGGTTGTAAACTAGGCTGACCATAAAAAGGGCAATCTCAAGAGGTGGGAGGATGCCAAGTTGGGAGTGGAAGAGGGGGATTGCATCATCAATTTCGACAAGACCACCAGAAGCTGAGGTGGTGCCTAGGAGAACACCGTTGACGGCAGAAGATTTGTGCTTTATAGAATGTAGGACGAGCTTGATGTAGGCGTTCTGATGAATCTCGTAAAGCAAATCAGACCCCATTGCTGATTTAGTCGGAGTACGTGATGTCAGAGAGCCTGCAACACAGAAATGTCATTAAATGAAGCATATTTAACCTGGTGTAGGGGGGAGAGCAAAAGGACTATGACCTTAAAAAATAGACTGGGATAGGTTGGGATCGGATCTGGGAAAGATTGAGACCCAAGTGGTCCTTGAGAGTTGAGACATGTCTGGTCTCGAACCGGTAGTCTCATTTGGTCCTTGAAATTAGGTGAAAGACTAGACTGGTGGTCCTTGACCGGGTGGCTTTTTCCAAAAGACTAGACTAGGACTAGTGTTGTAATACCTTTGAAATACATTTACACGTTAAAATATATTTTAAACAATTACGTTTATCTTATACATATAGAATAGTGCGTTGCATTATATTTTTATAAATCTACAAACAAGACATAACATAATATAGAAAAATTAAATGTGTAATTCATAAAATTAATTATTTTTGTTGATTCTATCCAACTTCTAGTTTAAAGAAGAATGTTCATTTTGTATAAAACTATAAATACTTAATATAAATAAATAAAAATATATAAATCACCTAAACAGTGCATTGCTATGTAAGGAATAGAATGTCTCAAGAGACATGGGTATATCACCTATGTCTATGGTCACAATGACCAGAGTAATAGGAGAGGCATGTGGGGTGCTCTAAGGAAATATTCTACTGTGATTATAGGACCTTTGTGTGTATTAGGGGACTTCAATGCTGACCTACACTTGAATGATAGAATCACCAGGAATTTAAACTAAGGAATTTGCAGCTTGCATTGCAGAATGTGGACTGAGGAGGTGTTCTTTTTACACTTGGTCCATGGTGGCATGGTTGTTAAGTCCACAAGTCGAGTCGAGTCGAGTCAGTGAAGAAGAGACTAGCGAACTAGTCGATATATCACAACTAGTATTGAAACTTTTAACATTATATATATATATATATATATATATATATATATATATATATATCTTCATTTACCCAAAATAACTATATATATTTATATGACAAACTATTATTACCAAAACAAAATTATGTTTAAAGGTAGCACATAAAATCACATAACGAAGGGTACATAAGAATATCCTTCCATCACTAGAGCTGGCTTTTCGTTTAGGGTACATAAAGAACATTATTATCTCCCATTTGTTCTGAAATAAATATAAAATTATTTCATAAGAGATAATAAATACTTCAAATATACAAAAAAACAAATGTTAATTGAAATTAGCAAAAAAATGTCAATTGAAATCAGCGAAAAAATTAAAAATTAAAAGAACTGAAGAGAATTAAAAAAAGAGTATAATAAACTTTTATTACTTTAATAGTTTAATGAACTGAATTAAAGAAAATTAAAGTAAATTAAGAGACTAAGTGATAGAGAATTAAAAATATAAAATCTTACACGATAGAAAGATATAGAGGCTATGCGACTGATATGCGGCGATGCTCTGATGCGACGCGACTGAAAGAGATAGAGGCGATGAAGAAAAAGATGAGAACTCGATTGCCGATCGGCTTGAAATATTGAATCGATGGGATACTGGGATCTGATCTGGCTCATGTGATTTCTTAATATCACATCCTTTAAATGGGTCTCATCATCTAATTTGATCTAAATGGATATAATCTGAATGAAATTAAGTCAAATTCAAATACTATAATTATTATTGAATTTGAATGAACTTGATCTGAATGAATCTCGAACTATGGAAGTTATCTAAATGAATCTGATTTAAACTAATCTGAATGACTCGACTCTGATCTGATCTAAACTAATCTAAATCTGATAAGAATAATCAATAAGTAGCATAAGCAAGTTGAAGAGAACGACACCTTACGATAATAGATTTGTCGTGATTGGATTTGTTTGGGAATGTCGACAATTGATCGGGTAATATTTATATTTAGCCTTCGTTTGGTACACGGAATTCAAACTGTGGAATTGGAATTGATGACGACAATTCCAATTCTATTGTTCGGTAGCACAAAAACATGTAGATTTGGAAATGGTAGTACCAAAAATGAACTGGAATTGTAGAATTCACTTTCGTCCAAATCAATTTCATAGAATTTCAACTCCCAATTCAATTCCAATTTCGTCAATTCTGTATACCAAACGGACCCTTAATGGAATTGGGTCTGGCCGGGTCAAATTGCGTCTTCTTCTCTGACTAGTTGTCGCTGAAACACGACTAAGTGATGCCTTAGTCGCTCGGACGATTAGGCTACCCTAGTCACTATGCGCCCAGCTTTTTCCCTTCCCCATAACGCCTGGACACCTAGTCGTCGACGTCACCGAGGTGACGACTTGACAACACTGGCTTGGTCTAATAAATAAATGCATGGTCGCAGAATTTATTCAAAATTAGATTGTGTTCTTGGCAATGTAGAATGGATCACTAAATTTGAAGGTAAAACTTTTTATTCTAGACGAGGGTATTCTGATGATTGTCCTCTGTTGATTGCTACTCAACATAATAAAAAGGTCACCAGTGGGTTTAAGTACTGTGACATGTGGAAGTTAGACCCAAACATCCATACAATTATTGAAGAAGTTTGGAGGGAGAATGTAAATGAAAGACCTATGTTCCAAGTTCTACATAAACTCAAGGCTTTAAAGGCACACCTCTAAAGAGATTGAATAAGAATAAGTTTCAGCAAATTCACAAGCAAGTTGATATACTTAAAAGTGAATTACTATAGGTCCAAAAGTAGTGTAACGCCCTACAACCCGATCTGATAGAATTGATTGTTTTAAATAATTAATTATTGTTTCGGACCGAAGTTGGGGAAAGTAAAATCCTCAGAAAAATTATTTGAGCATGTCATTAAATTCGTTTTGACTGTCTCGTTCCAAAAACGCAAACGGATCTCAGTTTGGACCCGTTCGGGGAAAATAGCGCGTACCGCTCAGGTCAGATTTTACATAACGGAACGAAATTAGGGAGGTAATCTCCTCACCTAATTCACACGCCACCCACATCCCCTTAACTCACCATCACTCTCATTTATTCTCCTCTTTATTCCCCATAATTCCCCCTAACTTAAAACCCCCACTCTTCTCATTCATTCCCTCACATTTTGTAACTCCCACACACAACTCTCACTCTCTCCCTCTTCCTCCCTTGTGTTCGGCCAACCCACAGCAGCAGCCCGGCGAGGAGATTCCGACGAGTAGACGGAGAGGTAGAAGAAGGAGAGTTCACACAAGAAGTTCATTTGTTTGTTAGCGTCATTCGTTCATCTCATTTCATCGTTCCGTCAACCCCTACGTTTAGAAGTGAGTAGTTGTCCCCTCTAGTTCTAAAACATTTAGTTATAATCTATGTCGTTATATTCATAGTAATATCGTACGCAACCTACATAGAATCTATGCATGTTCGTAAGTTAACCATCAAAACGTTCACTCCGTAAAACTTACATATATTGGCCTAGGAAGCACTAGGAATATATTCATTGATGTTTGTATTATTGTTCTAAAAAGAATCAAGGTGTTAAGTTTCCAAAATGGATCAAAACAAAGCCAAGTCAGAGGACTGTCTTCGGGACGGTCGACCGCTGCTACGGACGGTGGACCGTTCCCTTGGCCGTCCGACGGTCACCACCGTAACAGTCGACCGCCGGCCGCGACGGAAGACCAAGGTGGACCGTTTGTGACCGAGACCCAGACCGTAGCCCATGGTCGACCGCTGGTAGGGCACGGTCGACCGTTCCTCGGGCAGAACTCCGGGCAGTTTGTAGAACGAGCCTCGTTGACCATATTGACCCAAAATCGGTTGTATTTTTGCATGAAATGTTAATCTTCATTATGTATGTTATTTAATTGATATATTCTTGGCGTTGAACAAAGGTAAATATATCAAGCATTCATCGTGTTCATCTTAGACGCATGTCCTAGGTTTATCATCATGTGCATACCGCTGTAGGGAGGTCAGGCTTTCGTGCGCCTACTACAGTGGGCCCGTCCAGGAACCTTTGGGATCCAACGGGTTTTCATCAGGTGGGCTTTGTGTACGTACATAGTAGTCAGGTTACGGCTACTACCCAGTTTTGCTAGTCCACTTGTGACGTTTACGTCGAGCCCGGCTCATTACCGTTTCGGTATGATAACCGGAGTGCAGGGGTGATCCTGTCAAGTGAGACTAAGCCAAGGGTGTCCCTGATAGTTTAGGTCATGCATCAAGTCATATCATCATCATGTATGTTCCATATTACATCAACATTTAATGTCGTTATATATATCAATTCGTTATGTGTATTAGTACCCGATCAAGTGCAAATTGTACAGTTATTACACATGTGGTTTTCCGTACGTTAAGTACAGGCATCAATATGTGTATAACCATATGGGTTATTACTTCATGTTCTTTTGTTAGATTCACTCCTCAGCTTTTGCTGAGCGCGTAGTTGTTTTTGCTACACGCATGTAGACATGACAGTACAGGTGCCAACCCTGATGGACAGTGATGATGAGGAGATGGGCGGCGCATGGACGAGTTTAATATTTATAAACATTTAATTAATCATTTGGGCATGAATCCACCATATGTCGTTTTATTTATTTTGGGCAGGACTTATTTATTTACTTCCGCTTTTACTCTGCATTTATATCACACACGTTTTGGGGATAACTCCCTAGCATTTATTTCACCAATTAAACACAACCGTTTTCATAATAAATAAGCATTAATGTTTTTTGCTACGGACGGTTCTCGGACCGCCCATGTAACCCTACCGGTCCGTTGGGCTGCGGGTTAACCGGGTCTGCGGAAGGTGGGTGTTACAAGTAGTTACAAACAAATTAGATAATGATTTACTACTGCAAAAAAAAGAAAAAATTGATTTGAGAGTATCAGGGCAAGCAAAAGGCTGCTACACTCATGATGAAACTTCCATCTAAATGGATCAAATTTCTTAGGGAGATCAAGGGACAAAGTTATTTCATGCGTGGGTTAAAACAAGAAATATTCAAAATTAAATAATTAATATCACGAATAACAATTGTTATCTAGTGGATGATTCTAAAGGAGTAGCTAAGGTTCTGGTGGACTTCTATCAAAACCAGCTGGGCACCATTATTAATGCAGGATATCATTCAGAGTGGTAATGTGTTGTCCGTGGAGCTTCAATTCTTTTTAAATGCTCCTTTGAATAAAGAGAGGATTAAGAAGATTGATTGTGATACCTAACAGCAAAAGTCCCAGACGTGATAGGTATAGTAGTGGCATCCATACAAACCATTTGCCTAAAAAGGGAGAGCTAATTAGTGAAGTAATTTATAAGTTCTTCAAGGAGGGGGCGCACTCTTAAACAGATCAATAATACTAAAGTTACACTCATTCTAAAAGTGGAGAACGCTCAAGAAGCCAAGGACTATAAACTCATTGCATGTTGTAATGTGTTGTATAAGACTATCTCTAAGATGATCTATAGTAAATTGAAGATGGTCCTACCTCATTAGCCCTAATCAAGCATATTTGTGAAAGGAAGAAAACTACTTCACAACATGCTGATTTGCTAGGAATTAGCTAAAGGATATGATAGGAAGGGCAACTCTGCTAGATGGATGATGAAGTTGGACTTATCCAAGGCCAATGACTCTATCAGTTGGAGTGTCATTGAACAAATTATGACTTAAAATTTCCTGGGATGTTTATTAAATGGATCTTTTTCTGCATCACCACATCTTCCTACACTATAAATATCAATGGGGATTGTGAGGATTTCTTCAGGGGAGCTAAGGGGATCCTATATCACCCCTTTTTATTAATCTAGTCATGGAGTAAGGACCTTAAACCAGTATGCAAGAGAATTATGAGACGTTGCAGAACATAATTATGGTATCATTGGGATGCAAGATACAAACGGATTCCATGAAAGAGTATTACGAGAAGCTACAAAAAGAGTGATGTAAATGGAAGAGATCAATATGTACTGATGCATGGACTGCAATCTGTTATGTTCTTTGGAAATTAAGAAACAAAAAAGTTTACTTGAAGTAGACAATGAAGGAGGATTGCATCGAGTATGTCTTGTTCACTGTCAGGTGCTGTACACACACACACATAGAAATCAAAGAAATTAAATAATCAAAAGTAATATTTTTTATTTTTCAAAGACAAAAAAATTAACAAAATTTTAAAATATGAATAAAGACTGTCCTTGACTTGGACTGCTCGGACTACCCAACCATAAAAAGGCCCTAATTTTTTAAATCAACGATTAGTGTGGACCAATTAAAAAAGACCAGATCAACCTCGTCCTAAACAATATCGATCTTTCTATGGGACCGACCAGTCCGATCTTTTTGCTTATCTATTATTTTAATTCTCGCATTCAGATAATCTAATAATAATAACAACAATAACAACAACAATAATAATGATAATAATAATATACTCCCTCCGTCCATAAAAAACTTCTTACTTTCTTTTCATAGTCACCTAAATCGCGGTACATTCCAGTATGGGTACGCGGTACATGTAGAAAATCCACTAGAGGTAACGAATTCAGTACGAAGGGGGTAGGTTCATTTCGGTACAAAGTGGTACAGTGTACCATGTAGTTAGTGCGGTGTACCAAAAGTCAAAACATAAGTAAACAAAAATGTCTGAATTTCAATAGATAAATGTAAAAAAAATGATAGTAGATAAAAGGACTCAAGAAATAAAATTACAAAGAAAAAGAACTTAATAGCTCGGCAGAATGAGGCAGAATACATGGTGCGACTCCACATGCTAAGTTGAAACTTGAAAGCTACTAGGAGACTCAGAGACTTAGAGTAAATCAGTGCAGAGGCTTATTTATACAAAGCGCAATGGAAACAAGCATTGTTTGAGAGGAGTCGCGTCAATCGAAGGGTCGCGTCAATTGTTTTTTCCAACATGTGACTTTCGTTCCAATGGAATCACGAATCCCAAGCGATAGTACGACCTTGCTCAGTGGTCGACTAAAGGATTTCCAATATAGCATGCGATTTGAATCGGTAACCCTAGGTCGATCTGCGGAAACGTACATATCAGATCACGATTTTGACTACAATGGGCTCACCGTACCGGCTACGATCGGATCACAATCAAATTACGATTAGGTACATCTCGTACCTTGACGTATGGCCAACTTCACAAACTTAATTCTCTTCGTGTGAAATGTTAACTCAACTTAGCTTGTTGGGTATGCAATGTGCTCAAGAGTTTAAATATCTATCATCTACCTTTTGGTTGTCAAGGATGGCACATGTCTTCAAGTAGTTGTGCCCAATGTTCTTTAGAGCCAACATGTGAAGCGCATCACCAAACTACAAAATGAGGATTGAGATCATGATGAAGATATGTACAAAGAAACAAAGAATGTTATTGGAGAGAAAGTAATTATCTTCTCATGATAAGTAACATGCATAAAAAAATACTAAGTTTTGACGGAGACACATTTCAGCAAGTGTCTTTCCCCTCTGCTACATCATTTTGTCTTCTTTTATTTTAGCACATTATTTAAGAAAATGGTTTTTCTTTCTATAGTGGGGTTTTGCTCTTAATTAGGCCATATTTTACTCACCCGATGTGAATGATTCTGATCTAATTGGAATAAGTTCTAATTTGACCAAATCTAAATGTGGTTATATTTAAAATTGTTTCTAATCTGATCTGATATAATATGATATGAAGTGGTTTGATCTGATCCAAACTAATAATACATAATAAGAATAAGAATGTACTTGATATATTCTATAAATGCAAAAAATAATAAGTAATAAGAATAAGTTGAAGAGAACATGACCTTAGTCATTAATAATGTACTCCCTCCGTCTCAGTGTATTTGTCCAGTTTGACCTTTTCGAGTCAAACTGGACAAACTTTGAGCTTCAATTAAATAAAAACCGTAATGTATTGAGAACTTTCAAAATTATATTTAATTATTCTAATATGCAATATAAATTGAAACTAATTGGAGTTCAAAGTTTGTCCAATTTGATTCAAAAAAGTCAAATTAGAAAAATACACTAGGACGGAGGTAGTACCTAATATCTTTTGTAAAAATATTTTTGAAGTCAAGAGCTTAATTAAATAAACTATTTTTTAATTAGTACTACAAGTCTACTACTACAATTTCTTGTAAATTTAATTTCACCGTACAAGGTGTAGCTTACACTTGAATAGGTAACTAAAAATCATAAAAATATCGACCAATGGACTATGCCAAATATTTTACGGACAAAATATTTGTTTTGTTTTATGGAGTAACATTTTATTTGTTCTAACTTTTCCCATCAACGAAATGGATGAAGGAAAAGATTTTTTCTTTCCTTTTATTTTCTTATTATCTAAACATCTATTATTTTCTATTAATTTTCTCTTCATCATTTTCTTTCGATTTTATTTTTTTTCTCATCCAAACAATGGTAACATTGCTATGAAATTGAATAGAAATGTTGGGAATTTATCTCTGCTCACTCTCCCACACTAGATTAGTATACGAAATACTATTCCATAGAGAGATAAGTGAAACATTATCTTCATTGACTTAAACATTATCTTCATTTGAAATTCTAACAGAGACAGAGTATTAGAGTCAAGTTTGATTTGAGTTCGATTCATCTTGATATCTTAGTAGACTAGCTATAAAGTGATTGAGAACACTTGCAGATGCACCTTAATCTAATGGGGGGGGGGGGGCAATTGCCCCCAGTAAGCTTTCATTTTTAGTTTATCTTGTACTTAACATTTTTCCCTTTTTTTACTAAATTAGAAGAATGCCCCCACAAAAAATATTTGCCCCCTACAAAATTTGTTTTGTGCCCCCACTCTAAAAAAAGGTTAAAGTCGTCCACAAGAGAAAAATAATCTTTAGAGTTAGGGAGTATATTTTTCTATTTTAAAAGTGTTTTATTTAACTATTTCAATGCTAACTCCCTCCAATCCAATGAGTTTGTTTAGTTTGACATTTTAGATTCAAAACAAAACAAATTTTACAATCATTAAAATAAAAATTAAAATTTTTATTCATAAACTAATAATAATTTTAAAAAATATTACAAGTTATGTCTAATTAAATCATTTTTGTATCCAAATGAAATGTACTACTCCGCACGTAATTTTATGTAATTTTAATTTGATTTAAAATCAAAATTATCTTGTTTGCTTCCAAAAAATCAACTGAAAAAACACATTAGAATTGTAGAGTATTTAATATAGAGTTTATTTTTTTTATTATTCAAAATGACTTTTAAAAGAATTGAGAAGTGTTACCCCCAAAAGGCCAAAACCCAAAGGTGCCCAGTCACGATTTTTTCTGGATCCGCTACTGATTGAGATTCTACAACCATTCACCCAAGTAATAACTAGACATTGTAGTTGCAACTTGAGGAGCGTGTTGGGAATTTATCCGTGTCTCACGCCGAATTATAAATACTACTCACATATATAGAAAAGTGAAACACTACATATTGATTTAAACTTTTAGTTAGAAAATAGATTCGAACAATATACGAGAAAGTGGCCAAATCTTGCCAGGCATACTACCTAATTCACATGACCTACCGAAATTCCAATATTTATTATTTAGATAGAACTATGGAAACATTGAGATGAGCAAAAACCTGTTTGGGAATATCGTTAGAGATTAATGTTAATGTTTTGAAAAAACTATATACGGACAATCTTTAGTATTAATGTTTTTAAAGTTAATCTGTACCGTTAAAATTTTATTCAAAACGCTAAGGCTAATTGAAAACGTTATTCCCAAACGGGTCCAATTCTTTAGAAAATTGTTTGGTGTTTGTCTTTGAACTCCATTGACTTGCACAAATGGTGAGAAATGGAAAATTGGCTGTGCCGTCGGCGGTAAATTTTGTCTGGGAGAGAATTTCTGTTTAAAAAATATACCACCATCTCTGCCGCACCCGTGATACTTTTCCATTTCTCTCTCTCTCTAAACTTTCGAACTCCTGAAGCTCTGACCTCCAACCAGAAGATCCTAGCCCGATATTATTTCCCAGAATCTAGGGTTTTCTCGCCCCCCTATATCCTCGCCCGATCTCCTAGATTGGCTGCGATCTACTGAGTTGAAGTTCGGTTGAAGTTTAGAGAGTTGATTTTGAGAAGGATGGACGCGATCGAGGAGTTGTCCGAGCTTTCCGAGTCGATGCGGCAAGCAGCGTCCTTGCTTGCCGACGAAGACATAGACGAAACCTCGTCGTCCTCCTCCAAGCGGCCGTCGACTTTCCTCAATGTCGTGGCTCTCGGGAACACTGTAAGTTTTATTTTTTTCCGGTGATTTTCAATCAGATCCTTGCAGCTATCCGTTGTACTTTGTCGAACTGATCAAATGCCAGTGTTTCTTTTCTCTGATCTGTGCTATTAATTGTAGTCATTGGCCTGAAAACACAAAATTATGCCATAAGAAAGTGAATCCAGGCGCTACTCTTTCTGTCTCCTCCATCAGCTAACAATCACGTATACAACTTTCTTCTTGTGTGTTATTAATGTCCTCACAGTAGACGGAGAAAGTTGGCTACCGTGTCCTTAGATGGGAATTTTTAGCAGTTGAGTTGGAGATTTATTAAAGAAAATGTGGAAGTGATATGGTGAATACTGCTAATGCTACCCCAATGCAGAATCAGAGCACAAGAGGGTGGTTTGGCTATGATACCATGTCACATAAGAAGGAGAAGCAAATAAGTTGCATAAAAAATTGGCGGAATGGGGAATGCATCCTGTTCCACACATGTGGAAGGGACTGCAGACCAACCGATCTAGCTTGATGAAAAAAAATAACCATATGGTTTGAAGGTTGCTATCAGCCCTAGTACTATCTCCTGAAAAGCCCCTTTCATTAGAAGAGCTTCCTAGAACAGACTATCTTTAATTTATGCACTCTAATGAAAAGGAATATGCCAATTCATTGATCTACTTAATTCTAAATTCCAATGACTGACACATGTTTAACAATTATTAAATAATTATACATTATAACTGTTTGAATAGACTAGAGAAAACTTTTTTAAGTGTCCTTAGGCTCCACTACAATTTTTGAACGTAACTTTGTCGAGACTATGAATTGTGGAGGTTAAAAGTAAATGGATTACATAAAACAAAGCATGAATGCTGAAAGCTTGCAAGGCAACAACAGTTTAGGAGTTCCCATAAGCTGAGATATCCAACACATCCCTACCAGATCAAGCTTTGTTAATAATCATTTTATTTCTGTCTTGTTGGTTTTCACTAACACATTGGGCAAATTTGCACAGAGTGCTGGCAAATCAGCTGTATTGAATAGTCTAATTGGACATCCTGCTTTGGTGAGTTTCTCATTTTGGATCCTTTATTCCTTTCTCAAATTTTGTATACCTCGAGCCAATTCCAAAATTAGTTTATATGAATCCAACCCCCAATACGACAGCCAACGGGTGAAGGTGGTGCTACACGCGCTCCTATATGCATTGATTTAAAGCGAGATAGTACTATGAGCAACAAATCAATAGTGTTGCAGATTGACAGTAAATCTCAACAAGTATCTGCAAGTAAGCTATCATTTGTAAAAGAATGTTATTCCTTATTTAAGTTGGACAAACAATAAAATTTGACTGCTTGTTTATGCTCTTCTAGGTGCTCTTAGGCACTCTTTGCAAGATAGACTAAGCAAGATTTCGAGCAAGAGTCGGGATGAGATATATTTGAGGCTTCGAACAAGTACAGGTGTGGTATTTAGCATGCAAATGGGGATGTAACTCTTGCATATATGTGCGAATATGTCTCTTTTTCATCATTGAAGTCTGAGATCGTCCTAACTGACAAATAAAATAAAAAATTCTAAGATTACTAGACTTATCACACACCAGTGCACTTAGCACTTGTATCATGTGCTTTTTAATAAGATGAATTGCCTTTTTTGTTTTTGTATACATCATAAAACATAAGATGCACTCCCTACATAAGATATAATCTAGACATAATTTCTTCATCATCTTTCTTTGTACAATAATTTGATTTCTCTTCTCTCTTATTTTCCAGAGCATCATTTATATTTTGTAAACTATATTTCTCACTTCTTCTCTTATGTGGTATACTTTTTACTCTATTCTGATTCACAATTCTTCTTCTGGTACACAGCACCTCCTTTGAAACTGGTTGATTTGCCTGGTGTAGATAAAGGGAATCTTGATGATTCTTTGGTAAGTAGCTTCTGAAGAGTATCTGTTATATGACTTGTAATGTGGAAAACTGTAATAATTTCTTTCTATCTTAACAGAGTGAATATGTCCAACACAATGATGCAATCTTACTGGTCGTAATACCTGCTGCTCAGGCTCCAGAAGTTGCCTCATCAAAAGCTATCAGAATTGCAAAAGAATATGATGCTGAATGTAGGTTCAAATAAGACCTTCAATGTTTTGCATCTTATCTTTAGGAGTTAGGATAAAAAGGACTAATAAGATGTCAAAAATTTGCATCTTGTCCAAATTAAATTATTTATATTCTTTTGAGCTTAAATTTCAGCCTGCAACTGTTAATATCCCTGTTATTAGGTACCAGAACTGTTGGTGTCATCACTAAGATAGATCAAGCTGCTTCTGAACAAAAAGTACTTGCTGCTGTTCAAGCTCTTTTGTTGAATCAGGGACCACGAAGTACGTCTGATATACCTTGGGTTGCCTTGATTGGGCATTCTGTTTCCATAGCTTCTGCCCAAGCTGGAAGCGTTGGATCTGATAATTCATTGGAGACTGCATGGAGGGCTGAGAGTGAGAGTCTAAAATCTATTCTGACCGGAGCCCCACAAAGCAAGTTAGGCAGATTAGCTCTGGTGGAGACACTTGCTCACCAGATTAGAAGTCGTATGAAAATCAGACTTCCAAATCTTCTTTCAGGGTAATGCCAGGCTGTTGTTTGCAACTGCAACATATGCACTTTCTAGAACTACACACGCACACACTTCCATCTTAAGGATTTTAGAATTTCCATCTCATAATTCCTTGTGGAGGTTGCGACAAGAAGTGCATCCGGTATTCTGGTGTTAAACATTGTCATTATGCTTATGCATGAATATATAACATTAAATAAATTAGGAGTATGAATTTAATGCCACAAACCTGAGCTAGTTGGGATTAAATTTTTGGTGTGTTTACAACTTAAAAAGAGTTCGCACTGCACCCAATCACTAGAATTGAGATGTTCATGTCTCCATTGTTACAAACATGTGATTTATGGAGAGCGTAGTAGTAACTTCATACTTTGTTTCAAGGAGGTTGATAAATGACAACTTTTTTATATCAGCTCTTTAAACTATAATACATTTTATTTATATGCCTTTACACACACAATTTCACACAGACACACACTATATGTGTGTGTATGTTTAGATATCTTGACAATTGTTTGAAGGATCTGCAAGCATGTTTATTGTTAGTTTGGGTTGTACAATTTTTCAGGCTTCATGGGAAGTCTCAAGTTATTCAAGACGAGTTGGTAAGGCTTGGTGAACAAATGGTTCAAAGTGCTGAAGGTAGTAGAGCTTTAGCACTTGAGCTTTGCCGTGAATTTGAGGATAAGTTTCTGCTACATATTACAGGTGGTGAGGTGAGCCATGGAGAATAAATGTTTTGCTTTTGTTTGTTTGCTTGGGTTGTTTTTTAATGGCGCATGCTGTAGGGATAAGATGCATATCTATTGTATAATCTACGGAGTCTCAAAAATTGAAACAATGGTTACAACAACAACATTACTATGTTTAAAACATATAATGACTGTTTTGAGATAAACCAATTATGAGCGTCAAAAGTTGCATTGACTAATTGCTACCTCACTATTAAAAAAGTGCATATAACAGTTATTTACTCTTTTTCTAATACACACGCACCTTCACATCCTCATGGAGACACATACCTACATATTAGAGTGTATTTTTTTTATTATAGAAAGTAAACTAGAAACCTGGATAGTGCTCGTTGTGATTGTGAACTAGGCACGCAAAATCTCAAATACTCTGTAGCTATCTCAAATAACCGGATGCCATTGCAAAGTGCGTTTTAGGAATTAGTGGATCCTTTTTGAATTAGCTCTTGGAAAGTTTGAATTCAAAATTACATTTTTTCTCATTTCCATTATACCTGCCTGAACTCGGGCCGGCCTGTATGGCCCACTCATCCTGCCCTTAAAAACATGCAGATATGGACAACTATTTAAGTCCCATGCCGGCCGGGCCAGCCCGCAACATAAAATGGACGAGCTTGGGTTTTACGTTTGGCATGCATGGGTGAATAGGCCCACCCACATCTTATACATATTAGCATATAAATACACACAACATATTATACAAATATGTCTTTTTGGTATATTGATTGAAGCAATTGTAATTCTATAATGATGTATGGTGTAACAATCATATCATATTAAATTTAATATAAAAAAAGTATTAGATACAAATCTATGTATACTCCATATATCTTATCTAAAAATATTTTTATGGAGCATATAAAAAGTTTTGGGCCGGGCCGCTCTGTGGCCCGTTTGGATCACCTTCATGGGTGGATATGGGCATGATGTTTTGCCCGAATTTAGCGGGCGGACTTGGCCCGCACAGATAACTCCCAAAAAATTATCCTCAGGCCCGGCTCAGATCCAGCCAAGATCCTATATTGTGCAGGTCTAGTTTCCAGTTTTGTGTTAAAGATATGCTATATGTTATTCTTGATGTTCCACATCTTGCACAGTTGCACTTACCATATGTGACATTTCTATAGTGATTAAAGAGCTGAGGAACTGGTTTATATTTACTTTGTAAATCGGCACCCCCTTTGAATCTTATGCCATATGCGTGTATGGTATTGATGATTGGTTTTAATTGGTGTCCTCCTTTCGAATCTTAGGGTGCTGGCTGGAAAGTAGTTGCAAGCTTCGAAGGGAACTTCCCCAACAGGATCAAACAACTTCCCTTGGATAGACATTTTGATATTAATAATGTCAAGAGGGTGTGTCTCTATAGATTCTAACTGTAAAGGGTTTTGAATTTGATGTTCTTTCTCTTTGGCCGGTTATGTGATGGGTTTACTTGTTTTCAGATTGTATTAGAAGCAGATGGGTATCAACCCTACCTCATTTCTCCTGAGAAAGGGTTAAGATCTTTAATAAAAGGTGTTCTAGAGCTTGCAAAAGAGCCTTCCCGTCTTTGTGTAGATGAGGTAAATGAATTTCAGCATGACTCTTTCTGTTTTATTTCATGTATCCTAGTGAAGCATTGATATTATAATTCGAACAACTTGAAGACTTGAATTGTTATCAATGGTGTTAATTTTCTTGTTATTGACAATTGAGCTAAAAGAGTAATTATTGACAATGTTTTAGCTTCTGGCACATAATGCATTAAATAAAAATTACACTTTGAACTTCCATTGCTTCATACTTTTTATGAAGTTTTGGGCAGCATATGTAGCAATGTATTTGGGGTCTAATAGAAAGATTGCATACATCTTGACCCTCCAAGACCCCAACAGACTTTGGATTATATTGGGTTAATTTTCTTGTTACCTCACACAACAACTTTAACTTTTTTCTTGAAGATAACCAAGTAGCCATGTCCTTTTTGCTCTTTATTGATATAGTTTTCCTTTTTGGCAAATAAAAGTTCGTCAAATGCATAATTTTTCTCACTTGTTCACATCTGGAAATAAATTATGAGGCAGTTTTCGAACTTCCATGCCATTATTCCTTCTTAGGAAGGGCATGTGACATAGAGATATAACATAGTCACTTTTGCTGTTTGCATGAATTTATTTTTTATTTTATAGCAATAATGCAGTATAGATTTAATGACACTGACCCCAACAGCTGAGATCAATAATGATGGCACAACAACAAACCCAATATAATCCCACAGCAGATGCATGAATTTATACTTTTATAGTGTTGATTGATTTACGCTTAAACAACAAAACGTATATGGATGGAGTATTTATTCCGTAGTAAATTACGGCAGCTGGGGTGGAAGTGCCACTTTTCCTCAGCCCTCAGCTGGCATGCCATTTATTCATAGAATGACTTCACTTGGCATGTTTATTTGCTGGAGGTTACATGGTACTTTAAAGTATTAAAGTATTTGGCTCAAAAAAATATCACGGAGTATTGTTTATGAAAACAGAGTAATGAATTGGGATGATCAGTTGGTGGTTCATAGCCCACAAACATGGGTGAAGCAGAAGCTATTTGGTGTGCTAGTGCTTAGAGTAAGAAGCAAAACATGGAAATTTAAATTATTCTAGATCCATAGCACTTCTTAAAGGATTGATAATATCCTATGGACTTCGAGATCCCTACGTTGGACATTTGTGTAGCACTTGCTTTTTTCTATGTATAATGGTTGCATGGCTTCTTATTTTGAAAGTATAGAACCATGTTCACCTTATAAAAAGCAATTGCATGCGTATGTGAAGCTGTATATTTTGAAAACCTCTATTATAGTAAATGCTTCTGCATAGGGGGACTTGTGTTGACGTAGCAGGCAAGATTTGTCTTGCTATTTGTTTAAAGGTTATTTTCTCCACTTTGAACAGGTCCACCGGGTACTTGTTGATATTGTATCAGCTGCTGCAAATGCTACACCTGGTCTTGGAAGATATCCACCTTTCAAGCGAGAGGTTAGCAATTCCCCATGCAGCTTTAGATCCAGTTCTTTGTTGAGATATATTTGATGACTATTATCTTTGCTCGAAAACAGTTGGTGGAAATTGCAATTACTGCCCTGGAGGGGTTTAAAAATGAATCAAAGAACATGGTAGTTGCACTTGTTGACATGGAGAGGGCATTTGTTCCCCCACAGCACTTTATTCGCCTAGTGCAAAGGCGGTATGTTTGTTAACTGATGTGTATCTAAGTTATTCAATTTTCTATGAGCTTGGTTTGTGATTCAGTTTTCTTTTGTCTTATATTGTTTGATTGGTCCTCCACGGGAATGGTTTCTGAAGTTGATGCCTGATAGAATTTAGCGGGATCATTATTTATTAATAGAATATGTCTAGAAAGCTGTATTTTACAGCGGTATAATCACGACTAGTGCATGCTAATGCTATTTAACCAGTATGACATTTTTATACTATTTGTATTTGATAAATTAAGCACACTGTTGAGACACATATGTATATACTGGCTTTATTAGGATGGAGAGACAACGCCGTGAGGAAGAAGTTAAGACTCGCTCATCTAAGAAGGGAGCTGATGCTGAGCAGTCAATATTTAACCGGGTAACTCTTTTTTCATTATATATATGCGTGTGTGTGCGTGTGTATGTATATACACTCTCTCCATCCTAAATTAGTTGTCTTGTTTCAAATAATGTGCAAAATCCCATCTCTTTTAAAATGATTTTATTTACAAATTGGTATAGAAATAAGATGTACTACAACCAAAATAAGATGCAAGGAAACCTTGGTATGGTTGAAAGCTAGGGACACTTCCAATGTCCGTCTTTTCTCGGATTGCTCTACTCTTTGTCATTATCTGGGCTCGGCTTCTACTACTTCCCGGACTTTGTAACCGTATATAAAGGTACTCACGTTTCACAATGAAGCATGAAAATGATTAACAAGTCAAAGCAAACAAGGGGCGAGAAGTAACTCTCTAGCCCATCTTTTGGCTACAATGGCCTATTCCCAACCCCAAACTATGTACTGGGACTCTGTTCCTCCTTTTTTTCCGTCTTTGATTAATCATATGTGAGTTTTTTCCTTCAAAAAAAAAGATGTACTACAACCTACATATTTAAAAAGAGTAATTTACTTAAATAGGACTAAAACATAATGACTTTCCCAATATAGGACCATATGTTTTTATTTTCCAATTTAAGTCTTTTGGTCATTATGAATTAGTCATTATTCAAGTAAATGTCCATCATTACTAGACATTATTCCACCCACTAAGACATTAATAAGTCCTATTTAGGGAATAAAAAAGTTTAAGTCCTAGATTAAGAAAGTCATTATGTTTTAGTCCTATTTAGTGCAAATTTCACATTTAAAAACTACATCAAAAGTTATATAAAACAAGTAAAACCTATTTTATTTTATCAAATGATCAATGAAAACACATATGCAAACAAAAGTTTTCGTAAGCCTCAAATAGTAAAGACAACTAATTTGGGACGGAGGGAGTATGTGTGTGTCTATATATGTATGTATGTATGTATGTATTTATGTATGTATGTATGTATGTATGTGTGTGTGTGTGTGTGTGTATGTATGTATGTATACATGTGTGTGTGTGTGTGTATATATATCTTGATTGTACTACTATGCCTTGTAATTCACAATGAAGTGCCATCCTTCAGACATGGTTGGGCAATTTTTGTATTTTGATCCTTTGATATACCTTTCTGAGGGTTTTGCTGTGTGCAGTCAACTAGTCCTCAAACTGGAGGCCAACAAAATGGTGGAAACTTAAAAGCAATGAAAGAAAAATCAGGTCAGTCAGATAAAGAAGCACAGGAAGGCCCAACCTTGAAGACTGCAGGAGCCGAGGGGGAGATAACAGCAGGTTTTTGACTTTCTGCTAAATTTTCTTGCTACCGTTGCACTCATTTCCCCATTCAAATAAGACCCAAAGTTGATACTTTTCTTCCTAGAAATGTTGCCAATTCCCTAGAAGCACTTGATGAAAAATTGCAGAACTTGGCATTCACACCTATTAGTTATTCATGTCAGTGAATTCTACCACCTCAAAGGGCCTCCATGTGTGATGTTGATTATTCCTTGTTCTTTTATAATCAAATTATGATCCCAATTTATTTTTATTGAAGTGCAAGAAAAGGATTAGGTTTAGTGCTTGGCGAATGTTGTTTTGTGTAATTTCTCATTACGTTTGATTGACAGGATTCATTTTGAAGAAAAGTGCCAAAACTAATGGATGGAGTCGGCGTTGGTTTGTTTTGAATGAAAAAACTGGAAAGGTCAGCTCTTGAGATTTTCAACTGTTCAATAAGATGAGAAAAATGTAGGACATTTGAGATTCTCATATTGTGTATTTAATGCTCCACACCTTTAATGTCAAACTAAATTCGATTTGCTATAAATATATTCATTGTCAAAATAAAAATGTCTTATACAGCTTGGTTACACCAAAGCACAAGAAGAGCGAAATTTTCGTGGTGTCATAACCTTGGAGGTAAAGAAGTTCACCATTCTTCCATGTTTTTCACGTTGAGAGTAAATATAAGCTAATTGATTACTCCATAATCTGTGGATTGTTCTAGTTGACTTTTTGCTGGACTTAAACTATATGTTTAAGATTTTCAGGAATGCAATCTTGAAGAAGTGTCGGATGAAGAAGAACCTCCTGCCAAAAGTTCCAAAAGCAAGAAGGCCAATGGTCCTGATGTTGGAAAAGGACCTAGTCTTACATTCAAGCTCACGAGTCGGGTTCCGTATAAAACTGTTTTGAAAGGTCCTCCGTATTTCTTAATTGACGATCTGTAGAATCTTTTTTTCTTATTCTGTCTTATTACTCGTATTATCTATTATTTTTTGTGTGTGCGATTCAATGCATTCAAAATCACTTACAAATTCAGAAATGGAACACTTACTGTTTTGCAGCTCATAGCGCTGTTCTCTTAAAGGCTGAAAGTTTGGCTGATAAATCTGAATGGTTAAATAAATTGCGAAATGTGATAAGTTCTAAAGGAGGTCAAGTGAAGGGAGAATCTGCACCTACAATGAGGCAAAGCCTTTCTGATAGTTCTCTTGTGAGTATCAATAAAGATGCTTCCATGCTCTTAAATTGCTTTTGTGCTTATAGTTTATCTAGATAGTAGCTTTCTTCATGTCTTATGTCCCAAAGTGGGATTTTTTTGAATTAAGAGACTTTGAATGAACTAATTACATTTTAATGTTAGTAAATTTTAATTTATTATTTATATTCCCATATTTTGTCTGTGCATTTAAATTTCTATGGAACTGAAAAAACCAAGTTGGAAAATGATAAACCATAGTTATAGAAAGTAAGCGGATGATTAATAGGTGGATAAATCCTGCGAATAGTTCAAGGGACAAACAAAACAGAACAGGATTATCAGTCTTTTTTAGTTGAATATAAGATGCTTTATTTGCACTCATTCTCGGTCAGCTATTCTTGTTGTTTAAGTGTAATTTCCAAATGCTTCTTGTAAATTAACTTCTACTCCAATTGGCAGTTTTGCAAATTTTTTGCATATATTAAATTAATCCAGTCACTAGCTGCTGGCATCTCAGACAAGTTTATCACTTAAAATTTTTTGGTGCAAATTGATCATTTATAGGAAACAATGACTCGAAGACCCGCTGACCCTGAAGAAGAGCTTCGATGGATGGCACAGGAAGTGCGAGGATACGTTGAAGCAGTTCTAAACAGTCTTGCAGCAAATGTTCCTAAAGTCAGTTTTGCCGAAGAGTGATTTTTTTTCTATAGGACTTGTATCTCTTGCACATCCATCTAATGCCCACATGGTGTGATCTTGGGTTTTCAGGCAGTTGTTCTTTGTCAAGTAGAAAAGGCCAAAGAAGACATGCTAAATAAATTGTACAGTTCTGTCAGGTATGCTGTACTGTTTTCACTTAGAATTACAGCACGTGATGCCTGTGATTGATCCGACCTAATTTCAGTTAATAATTAATATTGCACAAGTAAAATCGGAGATAGTGGGCATTACTACTTTTTCAATCTCAAATATTCCGTATCTCTTTATTTCAGCCTGTTTTAGTTTTTCATTATTTTATTTTATGTTTCTACAAATTGGTCACAAGTGGGGCCCCCCTTTGGTTATTTGGCTATTTATAGACTTGCAAAAGTGGTAGTTCGATTAACTATGCAGCAATAAACAGAAGCGAGATATAGATTACTCTCTCCCGTCCTATGTATCTATCTAGGCCGTCAGTGCAAGAAAATGCATTGAGATTATAAGTTAATCAAAACATTTGATACTTGGCAAATTGAGTATATAGAGGTCAAATTGGAGAAAAAATAATTAATGTGCATATATTTCATAGCTGGACAGACAAAAAAATGATAACAGAAAATTTGTCAACCAAAATTGATAAATACGAAGAGGCAATCCAACTATAAACAACAGAAGTTTTCTACTCCCTTTGTCCCATTATTTTTGGGACATGGGGGAGTGGCACAGAAATTTTGAAAAGTAGGGTTGTGTGGTTGATATTGATGTTAAAAAGTAAGATAAAGTAAGAGTGATTCTGAAGGACACAAATATGACTAAATATGGGATGAGACAAAAATAAGGAGACGGACAAAAATGGTAAAATGGGACAAAAGCAGCGGGACGGAGGGAGTGTTAAGTGTTTTTTTGTAGTTTACTCCATTTATTTTATAATGCCGCGTTAAGATTTAGTTTGATTTATCTATGTTGTGTTGTAGCGCCCGGAGTTCCGCAAAGATTGAAGAATTGCTGCAGGAGGACCAGAATGTTAAACAGAGGAGACAACGCTTTGAGAAACAATCTTCTCTTCTTTCAAAGCTTACTAGGCAACTTAGTATTCATGATAATCGAGCAGCAGCTGCCTCCTACTCCATTGGTGGTGAAGCAGGTAATGGAATAAGTTGAAGGGAACAATGCCATAAATACCCATTATCCCCTCTGTAATCCTCTAACCAAAGAAAGGGGTATAGAATGGATTACTTTCCATTTCCAGTCTCATGGAAAGCTAGGAATCTTCATTCCGTAACCTCGATTACTTACGAGGTGTTTGTCCGTGCTGGTGCTTATTAGCTTAATCGTGATAAACAATTTCTAACTTATAAGCTATTTATTAGACAAATATTCTTTCGTAGAAGTAAAATGACTTAATGATTGATAAGTCATTTGGGAATATTCATCAATGGTGAGAGATAGTTTTGTCAATAATCAGGTCAAAATGGAAAAACAAAAAAAGTAGCTAAAAAATTAGTATTCCTTGCTTATAAGTAGCTTAAAAGCACAGAGAAACATGTCATGAGCTGACTTACAAGTTAAAAACTGTTTATGTGCACACAGAAACACTCACTTAACCACTTGACTTATTTGAATTCTCGGTGTAGAAAGCCGAAGAACCACGGGACAGGCCCCTGGTTATAAGTAGCTTATAAGCACATGGAAACATGTCATGAGCTGACTGATAAGTTAAAAACTGTTCATATGCACAGAGAAACACCCACTTAACCACTTGACTCATTTGAATTTCCGGTGCAGAAAGCCCAAGAACCACAGGACAGGCAGCTGGGGATGAGTGGAGAGTTGCGTTTGATTCAGCGGCAGGAGCAAGCGGCCCTGCCTACTCTAGGTCTGGATCAAGCGAGCATAGCCGTCGATACGGGGAGCCAGTGCAAAACGGCGATACAACTTCGCGGTCCAATTCCAACGGCCGCAGAACTCCCAACCGGATGCCCCCAGCTCCACCGCCGCAACAGGGATCTGGTTTCAGATATTAGATCTACTTCACTTTTTCTATTTTATTTTTTTGTTTTGTTTATGTGGTTGTTATTCTTATGCATTCTTGATCCTGTTATATGGTTTCTTAATAGTGTTTATGCACCAAATACTGAGTCTTTATGTAGATATAAGCTTGGACACATTTTCTTTCTTGGCGATCTTGGGGAGGTCTAGTTTGCTAGATTATGGGAGATTGTACGGACTTGCAAGGTTTCCACCTATACTTCCTTATATACAGTGTTTGAGTTCACCTGGAAACTTTGCGAGCATTATTATTATTATAATTATTATATTGGAGTACTATATTTCATCTCCCCAATAAGAAAAGTCTTGTTTTTATGTTTATTTTTATGCCAAAAAAGAGTTCAACTTGAATATTAGATGCCAATTTCACTCATATTTTGTACTCCGGGTATTTTTTTTATTTATACAAAATAGAGTTTACATAAGGGAGGACCAAACTTGGAGTAAAAACGTATGTCATATCATTAAAATATGAGTTCAAATTTAAACTTTTCTAAATAAAAGTAATTGACTTAATTAATAAAAAAAATGATTTAGCCTACACGCACAAAGCCTCAAGTTTCAACCTCCTGCCGGTTGATCTCCACTGTAACTCTAGAAATAAAAAAATTCAGCAGCGGTTCAACGTAAACTTTCGTCAACACCAGAACTCCTTGCCGCCCAGTGGCGTCCCTACCCTTTGCCTTGCTCTGCCCCCACCGTGTTGCTGTGCCACTTGTTGCTGCGGGGTGCCAGCCTGGAGCCGCATCTACCGCTACATGAAAATTGAGTAGTAATCCATAACAACTAACACCACTATCACACTTTGCACTATTTTCGATTACAGTGCCACATTAGTTGCCTATACAGTGTCAAAAAAAGGCATAATGCAGTTTAATGCCAAACATGACAAGATATAATGACATATGACAATGCATATTACCATCCACAAATGGCAATGCATATTACTCCCTCCGTCCTATAATGATCTTCCCGGTTCGCAAAATAAAAAAAAATCCCAAATTTTTTCAATCTATTTTATTTAAATATTGGTATAGAAATAAAAAATAAAACATACATATTTAAAACTACATCAAAAGTTCAACAAAACAAGTGGTGACAATAATATTTTATTTTATCATATAGGCCATTAAAAAAACACAAATAAATATGAATTCCCGTGAAATTGGAATAGTGCTCTGGGAAGATCATTATAGGACGGAGGGAGTAGCACATATGACAATGCATAATACCACATCTGCTCTTATATAATCATCTAAACAAAATTCAAAGAAAATAAAATTCAACTAGAGATCAAGAGAGAATCTGCTCACTTTTGAAATCAAAGGCTTTGAGGGAGACAGATGGAGGTGGGCGGCGTGGCATGCACGCGATGACAAATCTGAGAGTGGGGTTGCATAGCGTGGCTATAGGGCTGCAATTTGGTGACGATGGCACAATTGAATGGATTGAGGAAGGGGATTGACATCGGCAAATCAGCGTTGATCGCTGCAATTAGGTGGCAAATCTTTGAAGGTGGTGGCGATGACGGCGCAACAAAGATGACATGTGCGCGGGTGGCGGCGGCGATGGCGGAAGGAGATCAAAGATGGAGCGCGTGTTGTCGATGCAATCGAGAAAGGGAGTCGTGCTTCAATCGGAAGGGGTTGTGCAACAAGAGTAAATACAAACCAAAATTGATTAATTACTCCTATTTAAAAGAGTTTAAGTTTGAGTTCCTATTTTGAGAATATGACTTATAGTTTATTTATATTTGAGGTGATTTCTTTTTAAAAAGTTGAATGGGTAGACATGTATGTAATTAGTAATTGGTTTCGCCTTGAAGGCGCATTTTTCATATATATCATATAATTCTTTGTGTCATACATGAGTTGTGTTTAAGATATGTAAGAAAATGACTCTAAGTTTTGTATAGAAGAAGTTTAATTCTTTCCATATTCTTAACAAAATTATGTGACTCTTTAACCACATGAAAGTAATCTTATTAGATTTGAAACTATTCATTTTTAAACCTTGTGTTACAAAATCCAAGGTATCAAAGGTCTTGATTTTTGGGTTGGAATCGTGATGAAGTAGAAAAGTTCAAGAGGTCCCATACAAAAAACGATTCTTTTTTTTTAAATAATGCATTTATCATTAGTTTTATAGCATACTATCATAGTGATACAATTCAACCTAATACTTAATATCTAAAACTTTCAACACTTTCTCTAAGAGGACTTAATTACCAATTAGAATTTTTACTCCATAAGAGGGGGATATCTAGGCGGGGAGGGGGGGAGGTGGTTCTAGGAAGTAGGAATCACATTCAGGTAGGAGCTAGGGAGCATGGTGGTATCACAAAATGGACCAATATTATATTCTCACATTGAGATCTAATGTCAAACGAACATAGCCGTTTGTAGCTTCTGTTGGATTTGGCTTCAACTTCTAATTGTAACATTTTGAAAATGATATACTCCACTAGTGTAACTTGTAGAATTTTCAAAGTAAATCATACCAAAACAAAATTTCACCTAATCTGAAAGGTGCTGATCTGATCCAAAGGTAAACACGGTACAGTTCTAGAACCGTCAGTTTTGGTACTGCCACCCCATGGGCCCGTTACCGGTGGCGGATTGGACGGTGCCGGCGCCGATTTCAATACCGATAGTTCTGGTGCCAGTTCCGACGGTTCCCTTGTTTTTTTTGTAATTGTAATTTGTAAGTCTATAAGTGTAAAATAATTTAAATTCTCGTATGAATTATAATTTCTAAGAATGTAGTTGTTATTTAGATAATGAAAAATGAATAGTACAGTACAAAAATAATTACATTTAATGTCTCGAGAGTTCAAAAAATGCTGACCAGGAGGAAAGTTGCTGGAAAAAAACCGAATAAATACTGGTACCGTAGTTCTGGTACCAAAAATTACGACCTGGAACCGGACCCGTATCCACCGGTTCCGGTAATGGTACTGGGTACCGTCTTCTCCTTGTCCAGTGGCGGAACCGCCGGTAACGGTTTCATACTGGTAACGTGTCCACTCCTAATCGGATATGGTTTAGTATGGTCTGATTTGATCTAAATGTAGTTATATTTGAAGTTGTGTCTGATATGACCTGATTTAAATAAAACTAAATAATAAGTAAAATAATAAGTTGAGGAGAACATGACCTAAGACTAATAAAAATGCTATTCCCAAATGATTTTTTTTCAAGAAAATAATGTAGAATTTTTTTTGGACGCATGCGTAATACTCTTTCCGTCCTCAAATAAATGACATACTTTATTTGTCTCTAACACTATGTTTGGTTCAAGGAGTTTATAAAGAAAAGAAAATAAAATAAATGGGATTTTCTCATTAAAATGGATGTGATGAATTTTCTTGTTCATGTTCTTAATACATCTTGCCGACTCATTATTTTTTCCTCTCCAACCAAACAAGAAATATTATATCTCCTCTTCATCTCTTTCTCTTCCCTTTCAAATTTGTTGAACCAACAAACATGGTGTAAGTGTATATTCTTTGGTCTTCACAATTATTAATCGAAGAATAAATCAACCAAACGAACGTGACTTGACAACAGCGGCTACTAAGGAGAAAATGGCGTAAACTTTCCGATGAATCAATAAATGACCAAACCAATGTATTGGTGCCGTGGTGACTGGAACACTTAAAAGCGACAGATGAACAAAATTTTAGCAACTTTTTAGTAAAGAGTGTACTTTTTGTATTTGTGAATTGTGAATTACTTGATCCATTCTTTATTATCTTGTTGGGTTATATATGCAATTTAATTTGATCTAATAATGAAAGTTTCATCTTTATAAGTAGAGATTCCACATGAGATAATTTTGATTATGATAATAATAAAATAAGGAAAGTAATAATAATAATATCTTATTTTCTATTTGTATTATTTTTAATATTGGCATAGTGACAAGGAAGTCACTCTAAATTTTTCGATGTCAAGTGTTTGAATCCTACCTTTACGGTTAAGAGATTGAGATTTGTTTGAACAAATACCATATGAGTTACTCAAAAAAATTGCTCGTCTCAATTCTAGTATTTTTTTTTTACAAACAATAATTCTTAAAATATGCTAACAAATATTTTAAAAAAAAGACTAAAAATATTTGCTCAATGCAATCTTTTGATATAGATGCATTATTTTAAATTGTTATATATATATATATATATATATATATATATATATATATATATATATATATATATATATATATATATATATATATATATATATATATTCTTTGGTGCAAACAAAATGGATTAAATGATATTTCGTAGATAAATTATTTGAGAATATTGTTAAATGTTGAGAAATAGTTTTATAAATAATCTGGTCAAAATAGAGTTTCAAAAAAATCAACTTAAAAATAAGTAAATAAGATCTACTTATTTTTTATGGCTTATAAACAACTTATAAGCATGTAGAAACATGAACCCAGTTGACTTATAATTTAAAAATAATTTATAAGCAATTTTGACTAATTTATAAGTGTACTGAAACCCTCACTATATACTCACTCATTCCTAAAACAAAGTACCAACTTAATTTTTACAATCGCAAATGTAACACGTTGACTGTTATCTATAGTTTTGTTTGATTAAATGATGCGAAGTATAAATTTTGGGTTCAAAAAGATTTTATGTATACATTTTGTGTATTCAATTCTAAAACTACACTTAAATTGAATTGGATGACAAAAAGTACTCCTTCCATCTGAAAATGTTTTTCGCATTTGACTTTTCACGGTCTCCAATGCTGTCTTTTGACAATATAATTAATATCTATATTCATTTATAGATATATTTTATAAAATTTTGATATTTTAATACTACGTTTAATATATTGATATTAAAGTTTATACGATGTATTTTTTCTACAAATGAGAGTAAAATTTTAAAAACTTTGACCAAAAAAGTTAAATATAAAGAATATTTACAAGCGGAGAGAGTAATAAAGTTATATTTTGTGCGTTAACAATGACTTAAGTTATTAACTTTAAATGAAAAAGTCAAAATGTGAATTTATCATATGAACATAAAGAACACTCCATCTATTCCCAAGAAATTGTCTATTGGGTAATTTAGTTAAATAAGATTAAACCATGATGATTTTCTCAAAATAAGACCATATGTTTTTATTTTCTAATGTAGGATCATTGGTCATTATCTATTAGTCATTTTATTCAACTAAATGTCCAGCATCACTTGGATATTATTATTCTCACTAGTCATTATTAAGTCTTATTTAGGGAATAAAAAGTTTAAGTCCTACATTGGGAAATGACTTACTCCCTCCGTTTCTCAAAAGAGTTCTTCTTTTGACTTTGGGGGAAATAAGGAAGTGTTAAATTGTAGTTGACTTTCCAATTTTGCCCTTAATGTGATGGGTAAAAGTAGGATGTGATAGTTTAGTTGTTAGTGAAAAAGTATGATGTGATATGTAGGGTATGAATAAGTAGGGGTAAAAGTGGTTTTTTAATAGAAAAAGGAAGTGTTTTAAGAAAAACAAAAAAAATGAAAAAGGAAGGATTTTAAGAAATGGAGAGAGTATGTTTTAGTCCTATTCAGTGCAAATTTCACTTGCATCTATTATGACATTTTAGATATATTAAATTTCAAATGAAAGCAGAAAAATATTATATTTACATTCATTTGATTCTTAGTATCTCCAAAGCGTCATAATAGACACTTACGTAGTACGGAGTATTTAAGAATGAAAGGTATAAGTAGCTCACAATATTTTTCTTTTTTCTAAATGTATTCTAACAATACACATTTTAATATTTTTTAAAACTTTGTGAAAGTCGAATTTGTAAAGTTATTTTTGGATGGAGAGAGTCTTTAATGCTCCATTTGTTCCATAAAATTCTTCTTCTTTTATTTTTTCCAATTCCTTTGAAAAAACATAGCACTTTCACTTTCTATTAAAAAACCACTTTTACCTCTACTTTTTTATACCCTACCTATCACATCATACTTTTTCACTAATAACCAAACTATCGCATCTTACTTTTAACCATCACATTAAGGGCAAAATTGGAAATTTAACCAAAATTACACTTTTTTTTAATTTTGCCAAAAGTCAAAATAAGAATGGTTTTAAGGAACGGAGGGAGTATAACAATATGTATATTAACAAAATTACAAATATAATCCAACCCGCGTATTTCTCTTTCTTTGTGCATATTTTATAGCCGAAAATTGTTTTGATTGATTTAAGGTTATCGTAGCTTCTTTTTCAAAGACATTGTTTGGGTCTTGCAATTTCTGGTCTGTTATATTCTATTTTTTCATATAAATCTTTCACTTGCTTATAAAACTATAAAATCATGATCTAATTCAACCCATTTGAAACAATACGAGTTAGAGCTTACTCCAACTACTAATTCAACAACCCGTCATGTCCCGGCCTGGCCCATCTCGGCTCGCTCACTTTAGAAATAAGTTAGAGCCAGTCGCGCGACTAACCAACTACGTCCCTATGAAAATCGACCCGCGTTACAAAGGAAAAGTTCACACCAATACTTCTAGAATTGCACGAGTTACATAAATACACCGGGATTCAATAAATGACATCAATGTTCCCAGAAAAATTTCTATATTGACATCAGTACTCCAAGAATTGATATGCGTTTGAATCAGTGTCCCAACATTTGGAGCACAAAAATAAAAACATATCACTTCTCGAGCGATGGTGTGAATATAGAAAAATACTGGGAGCATTACTGTCGTTTAACGAATTTAGAAATATTTATGTAAAGTCATGTAATTTCTGGAAATATTTGTGTAAGTTTTTCCTAAAAAAACATTTGAACAAGGTGGTCGGTATGTCTTAATTCTTCACCAAACCAATAACCAAAACTGTATTGCACGAAAGGCTACACTTATAAATTTACTTTTATTTCTTGTCCCATTTTTATGCCTTCGTACCTTAATCCCTTACATTAAATTTTGGCCTTTGTTTTCTTCTAAAGATAGAAAATAATTACATTCCTAATTCCTAATTTGGCCCTGCAATTAATTAATTCATTTTACAGCATTAATTATTTGAAGTATAATAAAGTGAATAAAAATTATAAGCATGATATATCCGGTCAAGTGGAGTAAATTTTTAACTATAAACATAAAAAAAGCTAAGGTAACCCAAACTTTGTACCAAACAAAATAAATAAAAAAACTACTCTACTAAATAAAATAAAAAAACATAAATTATGGCATTATAAACTACTAACGGTCCTATTTATAAAGTAAGAATATACTGGGTTTTATTTCGATATAAGTTTAATGTTTTAGTAACAAGATAATATTTGTAAAAATAAATTGACAATACCAACCTTGCTCTTATAATAACATAACATTATTATAAAATAAAATAAAAAATTGGACCTAACCCACAAATCAAACCTTACAAAAGAAATTGCAAGGAAACCCCTCACATATTCACACCTCGTACTATTTTTAAGTTGTGACCCTAATCATCTCCTCAATTCATTCCCCACTTCTACCCAATCAATAACCCTTTTATATATATATATATATATATATATATATATATATATATATATATAGATTTTGGATTAGGTGAGAATGCAATCTTATGAAAGAAAAAATAATGAATCTGGTGCTCTAGATTGTGAGATTTAAGGGTCAGGATTGAACCAAAATTAGGTGCACCAAAATGATTTGAAAATGCATCATGTCGAAATGCACCAAAATCCTTTAAAAATGCACTATCTCAAAATCTGAGTGCAGGATGCAATCTGAGCCGCACGATGCATCAGATCCAAAGACAAGATTTTATTCTTATTTCTTTCACCAAGGTGCATTCTCACCTGAACCGCCCCCATATATATATATATATATATATATATATATATATATATATATATATATATATATATATATATATATATATATATATATATATATATATATATATATATATATATATATATATATATATATATG